GACCCCCAGCAATACACAAGCAATACTTTTGTCCTCCAACTTAGTTCTCTTGCCATCAGGTACGTGCACGTGTGCGATGCAACCAAACACTCGAAAGTGTTCAACTGAAGGTTTTACTCCACTCCAAGCCTCCTCTGGAGTTATATTTTTTACTGCCAAAGTAGGACTTCTATTCAGAACATACACCGTCCAATTTACTGCTTCCGGCCAAAACGTCTTCGGCATCTTTTTCTCTGAGAGCATGCTTCGAACCAGATTCATGATAGTCCGATTCTTTCTCTCTGCAACTCCGTTCTGTTGTGGAGTATACGCTGCTGTCAACTGCCTCTTGATTCCATTTTCTTTGCAGAATTCGTTGAAATCTTGTGATGTAAATTCACCTCCACGATCAGTGCGTAAGCACTTAATATAAACACCTATTTCCTTCTCAACAAAGCTTTTAAAGTATTTGAAAGTAACGAATGCTTCAGATTTTTCAATCAAGAAGTAAACCCACACCTTTCTACTAAAGTCATCGATGAAGCAGATTAGATATCTTTTCTTGCAGTTTGAAGTAGGTGAGATAGGACCACATATATCAGCATGGATTAATTGAAGCTTGTGTGATGCTCTCCAGGTGCTCTTTTTCGGAATTGAATCTCTATGTTGCTTGCCAATCATACAATCTCTGCAAATGGTGGATGAAGCTTTCAATTGTGGCAATCCATGCACCATTTTCTTGTACTGAAGAGTTCTTAGTCCCTTGTGACTCAAATGCCCATATCGACAGTGCCATAAATGAGAGAGATCTTCTGTGGTTGTGTGGAAACATGAGGGTTTCTTTGGAAGAGCCATAGCTAGCATCACGAACATCCTACTAACAGTCATATCTGTTTGAATGATCAGACCCTTTTGAGGATGATATATCCTACACATTCCATGTTGAATGAGAATTGCCAAACCCCTCTCCTGCAACTGTCCAATACTTAGCAGATTGTTTTTTAAATCAAGCACGAAAAGTACCTCTGTGATTACATGGTTGTGGCCATTCACCTTCAATCTCACATTTCCCTTTCCCATTAAAACAATTATAATTTCATTCGGTATAGTGAACAACAAATAAATATGTAATAAATTTGCAACTCAACCTTAAATCATAATTGAAGTTTGTTCTCTCATTTTAAAATTTCATATTATGGACAACTTTTCCTTCAATACCATGATTTATCCAATATATTTCTATTGAAATAAACAGCTAGATACTCTATATTTTCAATTAAAGAGAGCCATGAACAATAAAAGAAGACTATAATTTTTTGCAGTAGATGATTGAATATATTCCTAAACAGACAAACACATACAATTGTTGTTAAAGAGGTGTATTTTGGTGCCTTTTTCGTGCCAATATTCATAGTATCCTGCATATTTCCAGCTCCCAAGGGCCCCTACATTGGTGTTGAATCTTTTTGCATGTTGTCATAATTATAATTGTCTCTTTATTTTGTGTTGTATTTCAGGCCACCTTTTTTTTAAGAAAAAGACGTGTGAGGTTCATAAGGCCAAAAGATTATACTGTAATAGATATACAATAAATGTCTATATCAAGAATTTCTACCACAAAACCAGAGACTTTTACAGATTCATTCCTATATATTAATGTCACGGGCAAGTTTACTTTATATAGTATAAACAATCAATGACATGTATAATGTTAGTGGTGGTGTAATAGAGTTTCACGCACATCAATTGCACTGGAGGCTGACTTTGATTCCCTCGCTTGTCCGAACAATATTTCAAATTTACAGTATTTAACCTCCAAAATCGATTTGTAGTGATTATACCTTTATATGTATTGGTTGGGAGTCTGATTTCTATGAGTTTCTGAATTGGGAAAAAATCATTTCTTCTTTACTCTTATTGGAGACGCACGGGTCGCCGGAATTCGTCAAAAATCCCCTCCTCTTCACTGGCTGGGAATATTGTTGCCGGAGTTCAGAACCACCCTGTTCGAACAAAGCTGAGGAAAGAGGAAGTGGGAGCGATGTCTTTATCTAAAAAAGAGGAAATGGTGCACCGTGCACCGCTGACATATCTAATTGACAAAATTCTATTTTTAAAGCAAAAAATAATATTATATTTTTCTTAAAAAAATCAAAATCATTTAGCCCTTGATTAGTTCGGCTAAATTTTTTTATTTAAATATAAGTTTAAGCCAACAATTTATTTTAATCGTATATTTTATAGGATCTACAACTTTTCAACAATACATTCTATAAATTTTATCAAAATCTACCAAAAATTGATTTTATCTGAACTGATGAGGGACTTTGCTTCCCAGTTCCTCTAAAACAATATTTGTCTCATTAACCAAATCATTAACATCTACATCGCTTGTCCTGTCGTTTGCAAAATAAAAAATTCATTAGTGTAAGTTGAGTATAAAAGGTTGATCATCCACATATATATGCAAAACCTATACAATAATTAAGTGGTATGTACTTTTACCTGATTTGGAGATAAAAGGGAGTGCCGTGTTCATTTTACGTCAACGGATTATAAAAATTTATGGCATGACGTAAAGTTAATAAAAATTACCATGGTCGTGTGAAATAATCTAATGATAGTACACGATGAACTTTTAATATGAAAATTATAAGGTGTCTACACTTTTTTCCCATGCCCTTGAGCCAATAAAGGGATATAAACTTAGAAAATTATTATCAGAATAATATAAAAATTAGAGACTATGGAAATTGTATAAAAATTGCTTGGACACTTTTATTTTCTTGCGTGGAAACCCGATGAGCATGCTAAAATCTTGTTCAATTGCTTGAGACTGGGAGCAAGTAAAAGTTATGATAAATTTAACACATTTAAATAAATAATTATTTTTAAATAAAAGTAAACTATCATATGTAATCATGTAACTCAATTTTTTTCTCTTTTTCTTGAATTTTTGCCTTGGTGTTTTCTTAATAAGAAACGCTTCTATATTGAATATCTTTCTATTCTTGATTGAACGCTGGTATCTTCGAACAATTGAAGAACTATTGATCGTTTGATTTCCCGCAAGTGAACAGGATTGTAAACAAGTAATATAATGATACGTAGAGTGTCGAATCCACGAGAACTGTGTATTAATCAAATTAAATCTACTAATACCCTTAATTGAATAGCAAGATTTTATTTTAACTAATTAATATCTAATTTAGCAACTAATTCAAAAAACTAAGTAAAGACTTATCAAATTCGTAAGACGTATTGCTAAGATGTAGAATCCTCGCTTGTTAATCCGTTTTCAATTCAATAACTTAGAATGATGATTTGAAACCATGCTTGTTAGTCAATGTTCCTATTTTTAATTAAGCACATGTCTGGTGCCACTTGTTTTTGAATTAAAAGCAAAAATGATGCCGTTGGAATTGGTCAGTAGGTCCTATGCAAGAAAGAGTTGGTTAAAAATGTCAAGCTACAACGGCTGGAAAATCAATTTCTTTCCTCCAAAAATCTTGCACAGACAGGGCCTAAGTGTTTCTCTCGATAGCAATTAAATCAATTCCCCTCATGCGACCTTCCTATCTCTCGATGAAAAATACGAACATGGATAATGCATTAACAAATTAGAACATGGATAATGCATTAACGAATTAGTCAATTAAATCCGATAATATTTCATTAAGGGAGGTTCAAAACCGGAAGCTATCTTACCTAATGCAATGTTTTTCCGCTCTCTCTCTACAATGCATCATAATTTCGCATTTGTTTTTGGATTGATCTTCTTCTTCTTCAAACAAGATATCAAGAATTCAAGACATCACGTTCACCAATTACTTGCCTCGGATTGATCTTCTTCTTCACTTCTTGTTTTTTGGTTTTTTCTTTTGTAGTTTCATTACTATTTTTTCAACCATACATATATATATTGTTTAGTCACGCTCCTGCAGATTAAACTTTATTTGTTTGATTATATAAACAACTCTTTTATCGCTATCATATACACTCGGAACAACAGTGCCTGTACATGAAGAAATCTTGTGAGGTTAAAAGGGATTTGATTTTGAAGTCGTATTAAACCGTTTGTACCTATACAAAGGAAAACTTATACAGTTTTAAAATAACATCTTCAACGCAACTCTCTCGAAGACCAGCTTTTCGAGCTGTTCCTATTATCTTCAATTGTTTTACATGCTTATTAATTGATTTCATTATTTAAATTTATTATATAAAACTTTATGTGCTTTGGCCATTTGGGAATAACTTGCTAATATTGTAAAAGTTAGGAAACAGCACTGCAAAGAGAATAAGCCTACTACAACGACAATAGATTGACGACAAACTCTGCAATTTCCCCTAAATTATTCATATACTACATGTATATAAACTATTACAACAAAAAATAATTTTAGATATGCATAGCTTGCTGTGAATTATATATTTCGCAGAATTGTTTCGATAAAATTAAAATTTTCTTACAAAGAATTACTAAAAACTTTTGTTACAGAAGCATTTTCCAATAAAATGTCCGGTTTTACGCATAATTATATCCTACAACACGTTCAAGGAAGCATCAACCGAACACTCAAAATACAATTGTCTATCTACAGCGTTTCTTCTTAAACTCAATATTACCACTCTTATACAGATGTTGTAGCTGGGGCGAAACAAGCTGTCTCCTATGTGATTTTCATGTGTTCTCACATAGAATGAACATTAAACAAGTAAAATGTTAATCATGAACATGTAAAGTCGAGCATCCCGTGTATTTAGCTGCCTCAAGGATCAGTTTATGTTTCAGAAGTACCGAAATGTCGACTATTTTTTATTTTAAGACATAAATTTGATCTACAAAGAAAACAACCTTATGAAACCATGAGAAAGACCTACAAATAAATTACACGAAGAAACTGGGAGTATGCGGGAATATATAACACTGCCTTATCATCTGGAAATAAAAATTACATACCATTAGAATTAGATCATTGGTTTTTAATGCACGTCCAACCTTTAAGCCGTGAGAAAATCTAAGTGTCACTCCAGTTATCATCTCCTCCCCCATCATCACTTCCGACAGCCTGAATATGCAACAAATTACACAGTGAATGGAAGAGTTAAGGCTAAAGCACATTTTTCCTCTTATCATGAGGGGATGCATATTTTCCCTCTGTTTGGTGTGTGCGCAGGGGTGCGTGTCAGCGTGTGTGTGTGTATAGAGAGAGAGAGAGAGAGAGAGAGAGAGAGACCTGTCGAATTGTATTCGCCATCTTCAAAATGGCCGTGACTTTTCCATTGGCAGGGCCCCCTGGCAACACAGTTGATTTTGCTTTCACAGTTGGTCTCAGGCTGTATGACTGAAAATACAAATCAATGTAGGAAATACACATCATTTATTAGAGAGAAATAGTTAAGTAACCATGTTGTTGAATCTTCATGTATACATAGAGTCAGCTGTGTGTGTCATCATATAGTACGATGTCAACTACAGTTATAAGAAAGAATTAAAGTTCCACGACCACTAAACTACAAGGTTTAAAGCACCTCCTGAGGTAACACCAACAAAAAAGTACAGCACACCAAGGCGCTGATAAATATGTAGATAAATGAAAACAAATCATGAAAAGTGGACTAGGACAGCAAATTTTGCAGTCTTCACAGAGCATAAAGATGTCGAAAAATTTTACACTGAGATTAAGTAGAAATGGCAACAAATAGCAGAAATTAAGCATATGATTTCAACGGGAATAAATGCTCATTTTTCTTCATCTCTAGTATATTTTTGAGGCAAAGTGACAGCTCCTTATTGAACAGGTAAATAAGGAAGCAAGACAATGCACCTACCACATTCTAATTTTTCCCTATCAGGTTCAAGGTTCTAAACTTACAAACTGATAAAATTTGAATCTACTTATCCAACAAAAAGTAAAAAATGAACCAGTTAATGGAAACTCACTTTTGTTCTAATCTGATTAAGAAAATCCTCCCTTAAATCTATATTCTTGCGACATGCAGCCCGATTAGGTTCTCTTCTTACATTTGTCTTTTCCGTGTCTGACTGTTACACATAAAAAACATATAACTCAGATATTTTGTTTCACTAGCGATTAATTGTGAGATGGGGTGAAGGGTCTCCATCCACCTGTTAATTTGTAATAACTAACCAAAACGCAGAAACAAGGAAAGTTGAAATACTATACCTTGCTATTTTCTAGCATAATTGTGCCAATAGTACAATCTTGCTTAAGAGGGGATGGAATAAGTTGCTGAGATATTGTAGATTCTGAATGTGTAAGACCAGATGCATAGTTAAGGCTTTCAGATATCACAGCATGTCCATTTTCTATATCATCCAGATGTGGCTTCATAGTCCGCCATTGTGCAGGAGGGAGAGGTGGAGGGGTAGGTGAAAATTGTGTCTCCACAGAATCCATTGTTTGCGAATCGTTTCGCAGTTCTTCCCCGAACGGGTGATTTCGGACATTTAACTCTGGAATATCAAACAAACGACAAGATTGAGAACGTCTGTCCACACCGTTTTTAACAAATGGAAGTTGACGATTTTCATAGATCTCTCCGTGTCTCGAACTCCCATTTTCCCTCTTTGTTGAAGTAGACTCCATCAATGAGATTCTGCGTAACACGTCATATATATCATGCTCCTTGTTACTGGGAGATTTTCTGGACTCACATTGCTCAGAATTCGAATCAGACCGATGGCTAAGACTATCATCTGATACAGAAGGTGATGATCTATAAAATGAGTCATCTGAGTCTGAACCAACGATATACTGTGTAGTGGACACCTCTGGGACCAACTGAAACGAAGGAAAAATATTTCCATCGCTTCCAAGACTATTATTGCCATCAGGGAATTTTAACTTCATCTTGGTAGTCTCAAAGCCATCTATAGGTCGGAATGATACTTTCATGTGTTCAAGCGGCGGTGAGGAAGAAGAGGACATAAATCCAGAGCCACCTTCAAACAAATCTTTATATCTTCCAGAGATCGAATGATCTGCAATATTTTGACAGTTGTTTTGCTCGATTACACCTGTATTTAGGTAACGGGAAGAACCAGAGTCGTCATCTCTGCCATCCAATAGTTTTCTATAAGATTCATTTGCAAACAATAGATTGCCCAGTTCAAACACCCTAGAACTTCTGAAATTCTCCTGATGCTCTCTGGTAAATTGGATATCTGAGCTATCAGGCTGAGAACTTCTAGATGGCACTACACCAGCATCAGTAGATCCATTGTCTGCGGAACTATTAACATAATTTCGATGAAGTGAATTACTGGACTTTTCGAGCTTGTCATCTAAATTGGAAGTTGAAATTTTCCAAGATATCTTCCTAAATGAGGTGCCCCGTTCTTGGTAATTCTGACATGACGTAGAGCAATCCATATTGAAACCATTTCCCATATTTCTGGAGTTCTCCATTTCATCAGATTTCTTTGCAGCTTTAGCAATGAAAGTACTAATACTTCCGTCTTTACTGGCCACAGGATCTTGATGGAGGGCATTTAATACACTGAAGTCTGGAGGTTTTGAGGGTTCTAGCCCTAGCAATCCACCATTTGTCCATAACTTCACTTGCGTATTGTTAGAAGGTTCTTGTTCAGGTGCTTGACACTCAGGATTGCTTGTTGTCCTATCTGTGACTGGCATCACTGACTTATCCTCTCTTAAATTGGATGGCAATACTTTCCTGAAAACAGATTTTACATCGACATCATCATCAATGTTGCTGTATTCATGAGAATCAACGATTCGGTTCAATAACTCACTAGCCCTTTGAGTTGTTGACAGTAAATGGGCATTGTTCTCTGAGGAATCTGAGTTCAAATTTTCCTTAGATGTTACTTCAGCAATAGAAGAGTAAGTTGCTGACGGGGATAGTAGAGACGCTGAAATGAGGTTATGTCCATCACTACTATTGACCTGAGAACTGTTGACAAAAATGTCTGATTCAAAATTTGAAGAATGACATTCAGAATGATGTGTTTCATCTACTGCCTTGTCCTCTGATTTCAAGTAATGTTCTTCGTTCTTTATTGTGCAATCTATATCAGTTTCAGTATCTGAAACAACCGTGTTAAGTGCATCCATAAATTGATCTGTATCACTTTCCATGTCATCAAGCTGGATGTCATCTGATTTTGGCATTGGCAAGGTTTCACTACAAGGCTGAACATCCATTTGATCAGCAGTTTCAAGATTAACAGCTTGACTTCTCCAAGTTTCCTGGTCGAAATTTAGGGAACATGGCTCTAAATTTCCATTGAGATCACATTCTTGTGGCATACAATTATGATTATACTGCCTTGGCATAAACTGCGGGCTTTCTGCCTTTCCATGCCAAGTAATTGAAGATGAACTATAGCCAATTTGCTCTTTTGATAAATTGTTCTGAATATCATCACATAGATCTGCCTCTTTTTCCTCGAGAAATTTGTAATGAAGGGAATTACTATAATACCTCTTTGATGGAGAAAAAAAGGATTCTTTAAGTTCTTGTTTTTCAGGTTGCATTGAGTAACTTTGTTTTCTCGAATCTAAATTTGATTGTTTCCCAAAATCTGATCTTAATGTAGCATCACATGTAGACATTCTCTGAGAAGGGGAAGTTTTCTCATTAACAGTCAGTCGAGTGACCGGCATTCTGCAATGTTCAGACATTCACAAAATTAATCCATACAAGTTCAGCATATTTTCAGACCAAACAATCCAAAGCATAAGCCACTCCCAGGTTTTCACCACCCTCTTATTTCTCATTTCCCATTCACTTTAAGATGAAGTGTAAAAGACACGTACCTGCCACCGAGATTAGAAAATGATGAACCTCGGGATACGTCTCCATTCCTTTGCCATGATCTTCCTTTCTGCTCATATTTTGGCGAGTGTTAGTATATTAAAGCGATAAAAATGCGTAGCACTTGATGAATAAATAAGTAGTGCAGTTCAGAGGAATCCAGCATGTAGAGATATTGTTGACATAACAGTTGACACTTAAAGGTAGACTTCGGCATTATATTTGTGCGTAATACCTTAATACTGCGAACAATCTTATCATTCGCTATTTTCTTGGAATATGCTTCTTTAGATCCTGCTGATGCTCGCTTAAATAAAGTTGGATCCGAATACCTTTTGAAGCAAGATCCTGGGCCTCCAGGGTCAAACCTAAAAGAAAAAGCAAAAGTTTAATTGTGTGGCCAACAAAGAGGAACAGCATATGTATGAGAATCGCCCATACTTATCGAGCAAATGCAAATGTGGAGGGCTGCGACAATCTTCGTAAGAATCCATAATAAATTGAGGCATTTCACCGCTTGCAAATTGATGTTGCCCACACTGCAGACGAGCATGCCAATTGGAACCTGTAATCAGCTTTTTCATAAGGAACATAAAAAGTAGGAGAAGAAAAGTTGCAAGTACATTGTGGGAAAATTTTGTGAATCTATAAATAGTTAATCTGGACAAGTACTGGTGAGAGAAAGGTGGATATTGATTGCTCCAACCACTTTATTGGAACTATGTTTCAACTATTGAAAATGTCCAAGCCAGGTAACTAACCATACCAGCTGAATAAGCAAAGTATAAATGGTTCCTCTGGGCCAATACAGCCTTCTCGAGAGGAGAAACGGCAGCTTCAATCTGTTGTACTCGAGCCATCAAGTTGTGGCTTCTAGAACAGGTTATCATCACTTCTTCCTGTAAGCCATGGAAAATCTCTGCTGCAAATCTACCACATGCAAAGGAATTATAATGATAACGCTATGCTTGGATCGTGTTTATAAACACTGAAATCATTTTTTATCTACACATTTAAAGTGACGCACAAGTACCACTCACTTATTCACCACTCATTTGTATCTATTTATAATGTAAACAGTTTATAAACATTTCCCAAATACGTTAAATTCTTGATGACTGAAGAAATTGCAAAAATAATCCTCCTTGAAGTAGCATCCTCGAACACATCTTGTGTCTTAAGTCTCCGAAGCTTTCTGCGGGTTTGATTATAATTATCTTGCTCCACTTTCGCCTTTATTTTTCTTTACTTACCTTTTCCCTTTCCTCCAATTAAGAAATACAATAAAGCACAATCATTAATAATCTTCCAATTTAATTTAATCAAAATTTATGAAATGATAATTCAGTGAATCCATTTACCAGACATACAGATTTAAAACTAATTCTTTTGGTCTCCAATTATGTTATGATATTTTCAACACCATTACGATGGTCTATCACAGCCCACTATTTTCACTTATCCTAGTAATTAGGTTTTTCTCCTCTTTATGCTCGAACTCAGTGCAATTGTCTTCGGTCATAAAGCTTGAACTATTATCCTAGATTCCAAGTAATTAGTTGACTAGGCTCCAATAACCAAATGTATTTTCCAAATTATACCAAATCCGAAACTAACTACAAAAATTTCATCATGAATTGAGTCATAAGAAGAGAAATATGTTATAGACATACTCAGCAAGGTCGCCGAGCTGACGTAAGACTCCGACTAGGCCAGCAACAGCAACGCCTTCGAGAACCTCTTTCGGATCCTCCTTGTTCGCTTCTCTATACAGCTCCGGTGTTCCAAGTCCGTACTCATTTCTCACCTCCACTCTCACCAACGGCATCGTTTTATCATGCACACACTGTCTCGATTTCTCACATACACACAGAAACACAATAAGAACTCCAAGAGATTCTAATCTTGTCAACGTAGGAGTGAAGAAACTGAATGTAAATTGTAATACGAAATAAATGCTGTGAATTAAATGCAGTAACGATCATATTGCAATGCAGCGGCTTAACTGACGAGAAAGTGATGAATATAGAGGCATACACGTGCTTGCGCGTATGTAGGGCAATGCTGGTACAGACAGATAGCAAATAGAAGAAGACATGCCAACTCTGCTAGCCTTTCTCCTTCTGTAACTGACAGACGACACTAAAAGGATGGTGGGAACGAAATGACGAAATTAGGCTTCAGGATTGGGATAATTGACCTCTAATTGCACACTAAATGACGAATTTGTCCCTTCAACTAGGCAAGCTTAATATACAATTATTTTTATAGATCAAAAGGTCGGAATAAAAAAAAAGTAAATTATTTAGGAATTCATTTTTATTTTACTGTCAAAAATTTTACTTGAAAATGCATCAAAAAAAGTGAAGAGTGAGTTGCATACGGGGTGGAGCCAACATCCGACGATCCCCATTCAGCCTTCCGTGTTAGTTCATTCGGAATTTTTTTCCGTCTGTCGTCAAGCAATCGTCCGTGTTAACCTGGATTTCTGAAGGGCCGAATCCATCAGTTGTTGTATAATTATTACATTTTTAGTGCGACGTTAAGAAATTTAACAATCAACTTGACTGCGAATGAGTGAATGGATCAGATCTTGGCCATTATGTCACCCCTTGTGTAAAGGGTGATGTACCCCTAACAAGACCGTTTTTATTTTACCATCAAAAATTTTACTTGAAAATGCGTCAAAAAAAGTGAAGAGTGAGTTGCATACAGGGCGGAGCCAACATACGACGATCCCCTTCGGCCTTCCGTGCTAGTTCAATCGGAATTTTTTTTCCCTCTGTTGTCGAGCAATCGTCCGTGCTAACCTGGATTACTGAAGGGCCGAATCCATCCGTCGTTGTATAATTATTATATTTTTAGTACGACGTTAAGAAATTTAACAATCAATTCGACTGCGAATGAGTGAATGGATCAGATCTTGTAGTTGTATTGTTCCTTTGTCTACTACTAAATCAGAGAGATGTAATTGTAACTTTTAAGCAATAAAAAATATGGTCAGTCAGTAGAGTTGACTTTTGACTTTTGTAGGATTTGTCGTTATTGACTTGATTTAGCTGTTACGGAATCTTATCATTCATTTATTTTTCACCAACTCCGATTAATTAATCAAATCGATGGACGATACATTAAATAGCTCAAAACTCAAAGTATTAGTTTAATAATTTTCAAAATCAAATGTTTATTTTAATTTAAATAAACTTAATTTAGTTTAATAGTCTAATATATTTTTAGAAAGTAGATAATGAAGAGCAGTGTTCCAAAATACGTAATGCGTTGCGATGCGTCGAGACCGAGAATCAAGAATCACAAGTTAGGTGTGTCAATGCGAAGAATAAGTGTCATAATGCGTTTCGTATTTTTAAGGCATTAAATATATTTTTATATAANTATTTTTAAGTTATTAAATATATTTTTATATAAAACAATAGATTTTTTAATATATCATAAAAAAAATAGAATAAAAAAAAAAGGGCTAGGCGAGATAATGCGCCTAAACACACCTAGGCGCGCATTATTCCCGCCTTTTATATGGAAAACGCATTTTTCGCGCATTTTTCGAATTCAACGCATTTTCGACCCGCGTCCTGCCTAGACGGTGCATTTTCGCACATTTTAGAACATGGATGAAGAGACTTTAATACAAGATAAACAGACAAGCTTTGGAGTTGATATAGAGTGGCAACTAATAATAAGTTAATAGTGAGATCTGGGGTGGTTGGTGTACATTCATTCAATATATCACCCTACAAATGGTATATTTTCACCTTCTTAGAGCATCTCCAAGAGACTCTAAAAAAATAGATTAAAAAAAAAAGAATTAGGCCAGATAATGCGCGCCGAGGTCCGCATAGGCGCACATTATTCCCGTCTTTTAAATGGAAAACGCATTTTTCTCACATTTCTCGAATTCAATGCATTTTCGACCCGCGTCACGTCTAGACGGTGCATTTTCCCACATTTTAGAACATTGATGAAGAGACTTTAATACAAGATAAACAGACAAGCTTTGGAGTTGATATAGAGTGACAACTAATAATAAGTTAATAGTGAGATCTGGGGTGGTTGGTGTACATTCATTCAATATATCACCCTACAAATGGTATATTTTCACCTTGTTCACGCCAGCTGTCCAACAATATTTAGCCCCTGTTTGGTTGGGATCAAAATCTGATTTTAATTCAAGTTCAAGTCAAAATCAAATAATTAATATTAACCACATCTTTCATGGATCCCACAACTTTTTAACCACACATTTCAAGAATTTCTATCACAATCTACTAAAAACTTAATTTTAATTTCCACCAAACATCCTCTTATTGTAGTGCTTGGGGTCTATCTCGGAGAATTTACGTTGTTCGAAATCTCTCTGTTTGATCTACATTCTTCTCAAAATTTACTCTTTCTAATCTTATTTTGAACCACACATTCTTCAATAAAATAATATTACACGAAAATTCAAAACTCTTTCTTATTTTTTAACCACATATTTTCCATCACATCATATCATAAAATGCATTCTTTTCTTAATAATGTGCATCAAACATCCCCTAAACAAGATTCGATTAGATGAGCTCATACCCAAAATAATGAACCTGGGATATCGTAAGCGGCAATCGTGTTTCTCGAGTTGGAAGTCATAATTTAAGTTGCACGAAAGCTTTGATTTAACTCAAATCAAACAGTACCATCTCATAGCCAAACAAAAGAGTTCGAATTCAATATGTACTAATTATGCCCCTTCTTGGTGTAGCTTAAAATTTTGTAAAAAATTTAAGTCAAAATTAATAATTAATTTTAATCGTAAATTTCATGATCATATCACTTTTTAATCATATATTTCAATGACTTATATCAAAATTAATAAAAAAATTGACTTTGCCCCATAGGCATTGACCCTAGTCAATGAAGCCCATAAGCTTGGGGTGTGTTTCAAAATTTCAACAGATGAGAGAGAGATTTATGGAGTTCAACTTCCAACTATTCTGACAATCATTAAGTTTTTTAGTATTATACATATATTTGATCGCAGTGATCTCTTATAGATCAAGGGTGATACCGATATGCTTTACGAAGATTATCTTGATTATAATCCAACCATCCTACCACCAACCAATGCCATTTTTGACCACCATGAAGATGCACGAATGACCATTGGTCGATCTCCCCATCGATTAGCTATATAGCGCAATATTTTCGCTTGATCGATTAGTAGAATCGCAATGCGATCTGTAATCCGGGTCCCAAAACTAGACTATATGTAATCGACAATTAAGGGTACGGGAAAATCATCTTGTCGACCAATATACATTCCTACGAAAGACTTGTGTCGATCCTCATAACCCTCGAATTCTCTTTTGTTCCCATCACAAATCCATAGAACATATAAGGACAAAATTGTCAATTAAATTCCATCATCCACTTTTTATATATTGTTAGATTAGATTTCTTTATTGAACCTTCTATCACATTTTGGAACATCGTCATTCCCGATGAGATTAATTAAAGATGAGATCATGTTTTACATAGTAATTGATCATATCGTTCTTGATTATGTAAATTATCTTCTAGGTACTATTCGATCACTACAAGTTGGTCAAAGTCAACCCATTTGTAGCCCATCAAAATTGGCTAGCACCTAGAGATTTATTTATTTATTTATTTATTTTTTTTTTTTGAGCAATGCTAAACGGGTAGATGACGAGATTTAAAAATAGAGAACACGTGTCAAAATTTGATTAGACAATTTTAAAAAAAACCCACAAACAGGTTCTGCGTCACTCGTTTCCTGTCACTGAACCTAGCTATTTATCATTTCACATTTTTTGAATATTCCTATAAATGTATGCATACTCCCTATTTGAATTCATAAGCATTACGAAATTAAACTTTAAAATGAAGTTAAAAGAAGGTGTTTTACTAAAATTTATTGAAGAGAACACGAAGTTAATAAATTTTAGTAAAAAATTATTGGAGATGGCAGAGAAACAAGGAAAAAGAAAGCACCAGGCAACAACAAAACCCCATAAAGAAAGAATTGGAGGGAGCAGAAAAATTGAACAAACAATATGTCAACTAAAAAAAGGTCAGGTAAATCATAAACTATGCAAATATAGAAATATTCATGTGAATGTTCAAAATTTCAAGTTTCCAGGGAAATACAAAATCAACATTTTTCACAAGAATAAGGCCATAAAGTTATAGGTTTCAGCAGGCCAAACATAGGTAGCAAAACCATAGACATCAAGAAATAGAACCTACTATGTTAACTGCATAATTAAGTTACGAATAAAACTCAGACACAAAATACAGCAGAGAATCCATTCACTAGGACGGAAAATTCTCCTCTGCCGACAAATTTGCAGACACCAATGTTTTTCTCAGAATATTGACATTAACTGTGCAAGTCAAAAGGACTCAAAAGCTACTTGTGCTCCGACTTCCACACAGCAATACCCATCGAGCTCTTTTCCTCATGGCTAACTATAATTATCTGCATCATACAATAGTAACGCCTTCAAGAAACTGTATTCTGAAGATCAAAGTCGCACAAATATAAACATGTCAAAAACAACTAGTCGTGTCCAAGAGAGTATGATTGGTCACTACTAGACTACATCATCAAAATGCAAGTTGTTGCCACATAATATATCCACTGTTAGGTTTATAACAACTCAAGAAGCATGATCAATACTCAATATGCATCATTCAAGCACACACAAGCCACTTTTACCAATGTATTCAAAACCATTTAATGGTCTGTACAAGTTAACTTGCCTTCACAAATACTTTAACAATAATTTCATGTAGATAAGGTAAACTGGT